GCGTAACTAGTAACACCATTACGTGAAACACCCATAAAGCGCAATACGTGTTTCAGGCACAGTTAGGCTGCCGAGCTATTGTACACAATGCTTGACGTATGCTGTTAGAGGCGACCCTATATTGTCCTAGAAGGTTTCGAGACCACTCTGAGGCTATAGACGAAACCGGAAAATTACGCCCCCTCTTCTCACCTGCGCAAGTTGGTCTTCAACTCAAGGCCTGGATGCCTTGGTTGCCGTGACGTTTGCCTTGTCGGGAAATATGAAAACAAGTTTAGGAAAACAATTTTATTATGACTGATTGCCAACAAATAACAGAACCATTAAAAATGTGACAAAGTAGGTGCCACCTCAACAACAGATGATATATTTATACAAAAAATGCAAAGCGCAAAATTTGAATGAATTTGATCAGTTAACATGAAACACCAACAATTCTGACTTGATCCTATAGCTGTTTCCTGGCTGTTTCTATACTGTCAAATGTGGATCGCCAACATGTGAATATATGCTTCTTGGCTACGGTGCAGTTTGGTTAGTTTACGTTCAAGTCTGAATGTGTGACAATGGACTCCTTATCGGAGTTTATCCAACCTGTCAACCATGAGTCACTTGAACTGCTTTAGCGGAACGTCTTTCGAAAACATAGAGGCATTTTGCGAAAAAATTTATTGGGCCAGCTAAATACAGTGACACACACACACTACGGCCGATCGCATGGACTCGCGGGCGGTGGATCGCTCCCCGTCTTATTGATTCTGGCCGTCTGTGTGACGATCCCACTTCACTTTCCGTCTTGTTACCAAGACTACCAAGGTTAGCGGACCGTACTCTTCAACAATGTACTGAAGGGCTTGTGCACGCAAAAGAATAGACAAGAAAATTGTATGTACCGTGTAAACGATGTCGCACACCTCCACATCCATAAAACGGCATTGCTTTCTCTCATCGTATCCTGCTATAGATGGAACATAATTTGCTTCCGTGACATCTCTTGACTTGTCTTGTTCTTGTCATTAAGGCCCATTGTTGTGAAATGACCTCAGTCAGGAGAAGTTACTCTTTATCGCCACATTCAACGGTTAAAATTTGTCGGTGATTTTTGGCGGTTCCAGATGGATATGCTGAACGAGTGGCTCAATTTTAGGAACGGAACACTATGAAGTTCTAGGTGATGGAGCTGTGTGGATGCATTTGTCACTGATTGTACCACTATGCAAAGAAAAGCAGCAGTTAATGTTGACAAATGGAATTACCATTCATGACAGCTGGCTGAATCGGTAGCTTTTGATTAGAACAACACACCCTTGAAAGGTAATTGAAATTTTCATGTTCAACTTCACCTTGAAAGTATGCTATTGTAAAAGTGATAGAGATGTTAGGGCAACCGAAGTTGTTTGTGAAAGCACGAGCAATTATCAGCCGTGAAACTACCTGTTGCAGCTGACTGAAAGGCAAAATCTGTGACAGAAGTTTGGTTCGAAAAGAAAAATGTAGTCATGATAAGAGAGGCTCAACTAGGGGATTTGCAAAGCGGTCTGTGAAGCGAGATAAGATAGGGGCGTGAAACCGAATCCCACACAGGTACAGTGTGCATGTCTGAATAAGACATCTAGCGGTATTTGATGTGGTTCAGTTTTTTGCATACATTTTCGGCTTGGTGAATCACTAGAGGGGGGAATAGTGTTACAACAAACGCTTTCAGCGCATGGAGTAATTAGCCGATAGTAATTTCCCCAACACCCAACATATCAATTGCACTACGCACATATTCATTAGGCGTCGGAATAAAGAAACTTGGGCGCCAATCTCGCACAGGTGAATTGAATACAACCAGAGGACAAACAGCCTGAATGATGACGTCTGAATCTTTAATGTCTGGAATCAAGGATTTCACAAAATGTTTAATCAGTGCCTTCGATGCGCCGTACAAAGACAAGCCGGGGCAAGGTATAATCCCCGTAAATGATTTCAGGTTGATAATCGCTGACCCAGGTTTGTTCTGCTTCAATAGGCGAGGCAACACAATGTGAGTAAGAATTATCATTGAATGCACATTAAATTTACCAAGTTCCGTATAAATTCGAAATCTATAAAGCCCTCATGGACGTGGTTGAGTGATACCAAGTTGTCCACCAGACAGACCAGATGGAGGGTAGCCTGTCGATTTCTTCCTCCAAAAACTTGTAAATATCTGTTCACAATGAAACAATAAGATAACTTAACTGATAAAATGCAGCAAAATGAGACTAAGTGAACACAATGAGTACCTGCTCTTTGGTGGCCATCCAGTCTCTTCAAGAACAGCTCTAGTTGCTCTCTATTTGGCTGGACAATACAAGTGCAGTTTGCGAGGAATCTTACTAACAGCAACTTTCAGAACATTCCTGAAAGAATTATACCCTATTAGTCCAATTGTAGCCTGAACAACTTTGCCCCGTTGGTTGCTAGGGCGGAGAATTGTACTGTAGCATATTATGTTACTGGCTGCAAAGTATTGCAGGCAACAGCCAAACAAGAAACAGGTTATGGCTTTTTAAAATTCGTGAAAAGGTGGAAGGTCACAAACGAGGAATACTTGTCAAATGGTATTTTGGCTGGTATTTCTAATGGTACTTTAATGGTATGGTAAACTCCGAGGGTAATTTTGGTGTTCCTATCAACAACCAAGTTGTACATCCCCTTATTTGTGTGGAATGATAGCCGGGGTGAAACTTATCCCCGGTTAGAATGATTTTAATTTGACCCTGATTCTTCCACTCAACACTCGGGAGTAACTCAGACAGATAGGCAATTTTTTAATTTTATAATGATATTATCATAACACGATCACCGTTATCATCATCACCAACATCCAAGTTGCTGCCAAGTGACTATCGGGAGAGAAAGTAAAAGGTACAAGAAAGCAGAAGGGTGAAAACTTATCTTAGAAACCCCGTTTTACTGTTAGTGCTTTCATTTATCCGTCCTGGGTCAAAATCTCTTTCGGTTCGAATTTTGACCAGAAAGTGCTATGAATAGTGACTCATAGCTTCTCTGGTTCAGAATGGTGTGGCATTTGTGACAGATGTTTGGACCAGTCTAAGCATATGGGTTTTACTTACCACTACAGCAGTCTTGATTCTTTACCCGATTTCCGTTTACCCACCACTCTTTTGCACACGCGCTGCTGACAACTAACTCCTGCTGTACCAAAAAAGACGTCGAAAATTAAAGTTTTTCTTAGTTAGAAGACGGTTACGGACGCCTGTTACAAGTTTGCAATGCGTTGGTTCGTGCTCTGAAGAGTTTATAAGTCACGGTAAGTCAAACAAACCCTACGAAATACGGAACACCCAGTGCGCGGATTGAAACAGGTCTGCACGAGATGTCACACAAAGTTGTTTATTACTAGTAGCGCTGGGTTGGAAGTGAGAGATTTTGGAAAACATAATACATCTCGAAAAACGTATTTCTTTGGTCTCAAAAACAATCTGAGTTGTTTTCTTCCGGTGGCATATGGTTGAAGGCGAAAAACAACAGATTATACTATCTGTTGAGTACATCTTAATGGATTCACACATAATGCCATTTACTGAATTACCGACTTGGCAAAACGAAATGTTCGGGTGGGATGTAAGTGCATTTTACTCCAGTTTAAACTGTGAAACAGAATTTCTTTTGCTGTTAAACGGCTGCTCTGGGTACAGCATGCTCTCTGATGCAGAATTTGGACTGTAAACGACTAGATTCTGTTTTGACGAGAACGAAAAATCGTGATCCTTATGGTGAGCTGGGAACGGTTCATGTTCAAACGAAGATTTGTTCCAAGCCCATTCAGAGCAGTAATCACGCCAGCGATGTCCCTGTAGAGAGGTGGCGATGCTCGGAAAGTGGATAGAATCTCGGTTCTGTGTAAGGTTTTGAAGCTACCCTGAAGTGGACACCATTAATAAGCGAGCTATCTAAGTCCACGCTCAAGATACTGCTGAATGAACATTAACCAAGATAAAAGACCAAATAGAGTTAGTCGTTGTTCCTCTCTCGATGTGTTGCACAAATGACTAGGGAACTACTTCCACAGCTTCATATCTTTGTAGGCATAAGCTCTGGTTATTTTACAAACATGAAAATGGCCTGTGCAAAGTTGCCACAAGAGCTAAATGCATTTGCAATAGGTGGTACTCTGTCTAGCCCGCGCTTTTGAGTCCACGCCTTTCCTACTAAAATGTTATATCTGCTGCGTTCTAACTGCTGCACATATGTCCCGTTCAAGGGCATTTCTAGGACTTCGGGAGCACGTTCAGTAACAGGCCTTTTCGTTAGTGTATGGAACAAAATTGGCGGTGCTAAATGCGAACACGACTGCGTTATTCATGACATAGGGGAAACCTCATCAAGGCAACCACGAGATACTAGAGCAGGACAGAAAAAATATACTCATTTTAAGGGATTTAGAAGACACATATGTCACAGGACAATGATGTTGTAAACTCTATGTTGGTCAAGATCTCTCAGACATCTATTTTATATACGTCTGACTGCTAATAGTGGTGAAGGTTTATTTAAACTCTGGGGTGGGCTTCCAATGGCAGTTAAGTGTACGGAGGAAAAACAGTTTGCTTAAGAATGATGCCCGGCGCGATTTGCATTGTGTTCGTATCGTGAGTACGCTAATTCTTTGAGGTTTAACTACTACGGCTTAGAGGAATGTTGCGGACTCATCCTAGGGATCTAACACTTCTACGTAGTTGAGACACGGGGATATGTTCTATTTATCTTTGGGGTCAACAATGTTCTGCGTCTACTTTTCAAGCTACTTATGAGTAATCGAATTTTCACGGCGTTCCCCATCGGTAGCCATTTGCAACCGACACAATTCAGACTGGTGTCAGGGGAGTGGCCCTCCAAGAGAAGCATGTCCAATAAAGAGAAGGAGTCTTAACCGTTTTCTCCACTGCCAGTTTTTTGCCGCCTTTCTAAACTGAACAATTTCAGTCGTTGCTGTCGCTTGATGCGTTGTCACTACTGTCCAATTTCCATGTTGAGAGGTTGGTTCCCTGAAGAATGAGATCTTTCGCTGAATCGTACTCTGCTGGGGCCTGACCACATCGCAGACCACGCACGCACTTTGAACGTGCACTCTGCGAGTGTACGCATGGTATTTAATCACCCAGCCGGAAGCCAATGAGTTTTCAGATTGGCTGAAGTTAGGAATGGATCAATTAGAATGAAGGGAGAGAACTACATGAAACGAAAGGTTCATAAACAAACAATTAAGGAACTTGAAGCTGGGCCACAACGCAGAGGCGGCTGAAAAAGGACCAGTCAGACTCCCATCGGGGGACTTGTTAGAGCTAATGACGTTGGAGCTTGAAGATCCTCTTTACTGTCTACATAAGTGCACGTGCGAGGAGATGGACTACCCACCGAACCACGCACTGAGAACACCTCTCGAATGATGGGCACGTTAGCTACCACCTAATTTTGCGTACGCATATAACAGAGGGGATATACCATCTATGTTAGGTTGGCTCTAGTTACAGTGATGGAGAAACTTCGGACCCAGTTTGCAGAAGTTCTTAACATCTTTTGTCACCAAATCAATGACAGTTTGTTACCTATTCAAAGCGATTACTACTCCCACCTCGGTGGAAAAATGCAGTCATTTTCTCACAGGAAGGAATTACAACTAACTGTCAACCATGGATTCGGGGATAAATTATACGTTCCACACTGGTTTTATGCATTAAGCGGACGAAGGTGATCAGTTTCATCCTCCCAATCAAGTCTTACGCGCTGGAATAATTTGGCTGATTCTAATCCTGTGTACCTACTAAAGTACTTGACCTGCACGAACCTTTTAAACGTCCTTTAGTCAGTCATTCAGTGATTCACTTACTCTACCACTTCAACCAGCTGTGTGCATGGTAAACCCGACGTCTAAGTGATTCTGATCTATCTAGCATTAGCTTGCAAATGAACAATTTAACGAGGATATTGACCTACCATGGATGATTTTTACTACCACCTTAACTACGGATACTACTGGTGAACCATACGAGTAGTCTACAGCTAGTGTCCGAGTTCCGCTCCCGCATCCGATGGAAGGTAACGTTTACTGAGGGGATTGTGGAGCCACTTTGCAGTATTCATTTAAAATCCTGTAATAGCCCCATGAATACCCAGGAAAGTTTAAGAGGACGTGTGAGTGTTCACTTTTTAAAGAGACGTTTGACTTCCTGTCTAACGACTTGTAATTGCCTAGTGCATGTTTGCTAATAAACGACTTCACAGAAAAGGGTTTTCCTCCATTCATCCGGAACCCATTTCTGTTTGAATCCCGGAAAGATTACTAATTCGTGATCTATGCACGGTTAAGATTATCTAGTTAGTGTTGCCTACTAAAGAAATAATCAGACTGTCATAAGGGGACAGTCAGCGAGGCGTTCAGAAGTGATGAGATAGCGTGTTGTCATGGTAAGCTCTTGATAAAAAGGGTGGATATAGTTGGATCCAAGTTACGCCTTTCGATTGGGAAGCATATTTGAAGTTCGAAATCAGGCTACATGCGACACGGGCGTGTAGCAAGTATCTGCGACAAAGTTTTGCGATGTCTAGATGACTAGGGAAAAATCACCCGTCATTTTTGGCAGAACCCCAAAAAGTTGAGTGCTTATATGTTGATTGAAAAAGAACCTCCGTGGCCTATCCTAGGACCAGCTGCAAGTGTCCGTTAACGAAAGACACCTCCAGCAGACTGAGAGAGTGTTTTGTTTATTCAGTATAGTCAAACTGGGTTCAAAAGAGGTAAAGCTGGCCTTACGAATCAAAGGTTTGTACGGTTTGTGTGCATAGTGCTTGTGACCAAGCTCCCTGAGATGAAAGTAAATTACGACCACAACTGAGAGGATCCAAAAAGTATACCAGGTCTTCGGCGAGGCCACATGGACAAGCAACTCTTTGAAAACACTGCATGGAAGTCACTGGTATGAAATCACAAACGAATGTTATCGCCTTCACGCTGAAGTTATCTGCGAGTTCGGTAGCCATACTACTAAGTCCCGCCACATCGATATCAATGAACATGATGTTCAACCCATCCTTTGCCAGTTCACGAGCATATGCTTGACCGATTCCGGCAGCCGCTCCCGTAACAATGGCCCATTCACCCGCGTTCTTCAGCTGTTTCCGTTTGGAATAGAATTTCTTTGCAATGGTGAACATGAATAGCATCCGCACAGATGGATAAACTACTTTCCACCAGGCAATCGTTGCAGCCGATCAACAGAGTATTTAAGAATAGTACATCGTAACCGAAGAAATATATTACAATTGTGCGAAAGGTTTCGTCCGAAATCAGGTGACATACTCACTTAAATAACTTTATTGAAGTTGACTCCCAGGGTGCGATACGTCGGCTACAACAGGTGCTCAGTGGAGACTGCCATCAAACTCAGTCTCGGCAAGTTTATCAGGATCAAACAACATCCAGCACTTTTCCAGCAGACACCAGCCATCACGGTTCAACAACGACTTCCAAAATTTCATCACAGTATCACCAGTCTATAAGAAGGAAGAGAAGGAAGAGTGACGAGTGAATTCTCCATCTGGGAACTCTTCACTCAACGAGCCGATCAACACGCGATGTGGATTCAGTGAATGAAGAATGAGTAGCGCTGTATCCTGTCCAAATTTGAGTTAACCACACTCCTCGTCAGCCGCTCGAGGCCGAAATTCTACGCGCTCAAGCGACTGGGTGGAAGCTCGAAGGTTACAAACTAACCTAATTTTCGTGAGTTGCGTACTACTGATGATTTCCAACAGGGACGAAGCAACTGCAATTTGCGCCTTGGATTCTTAGCACAGATCTGCTTCCCTCAAAATTCTCTTACGCTACTAACAATCAATACTCCGTCCTTAGCCTTTTATGTAGAGCTTATCCCGGACTTGGGTACACACTTGGGTCACCCAATCGTATAAAAATCTCGTTTGCTTGCATGCTGATGGATGTTAAGGCGCTACGTGTACGATAGCCCCCCACAAGTCGCAACCAAACTTGTACTTCTCTAGAATGTAATGTGTTCTGTGTGACCATTGACAATGTATCCTCAAATACACCAGTGCAAACTTTGAATTTGTTAGTCACTCAATCAAAATGGAACGCCCAGAATGGATCACTCTATAAGTGAGACACTCTGCTTACCTATGCACAAACTTCTCGGGAATTTCGCCCAAGCAATATGGGATGCAGTGCCGAAAGACGGGATGATACCACCTGTCTGAAACTCAGTAAAATGTTCCGAAAGTAGCTTCACATCCCACAACAAAACCGCATTTTGTTGTCAAGGAATATGGTTCAAAGATTCTTGGTCGACATATGAGAGACCTCAACGAAAGGCAAACCTCAAATCCACTGTATTATTACAGGAGATATGAAAGCACCAAACAATAAAGTTACCGACCAAACTCATTGTAAATTTCTTGACTTCAACCTGATTGCTTCGCCTCAGTAACCCCGGTGAATTACTTCACCGGTGGACGAAGTTTTCCTCATTCCACTTGTCAATATAATTAACCTTATACGTGTACACAATAATCTATGAATCACAAATAACCAAAATCTCGCTTGTATTTCACCTGGTGAAAGCCGCTGTGGTTCCCAGGACCACCCAGTCGATACCCCATGGCGTACAATAGTGCCACGAGGACTAAACTGAAGCAAGGGGGTCTGTGGCCCCAGAAAATGAGGTAGCTGCTTTTTCTTACTCGAACCATTTCCTAAACCAATCAAGCTGCCATCCACATGCTCACTAGGACGAAACGACCAGGAACTTTGCGAAAACCACCACTGAAATCTCCCTCAGTAGTAGGGGACTGTTTTTGTACGAACCAATTCAAGCGGTATTCTGATAGATTTTGACACTATCTAGCACCGAAAATTACAATCATGTTGAGTGGAATTAAATCCATGTCTCATAACAGTACTCTTCCTACAACTGTGGAAAAGAAACACATGCTTTCTGTCACACGTCTTCATGTTCTCCACGTGGAGCTTTCCCGTGTAACCTCATGTGATCATACGCCCTAGCTGCATAGAAAAAAGTGTTCAGCCTAATTGGTTATATCGCTTTAATTACGCGATGTTATCGGTAACATGACTTTGGTACCACTGGGCATATACAAGCTGGTTTTGAAACGGCCAATTTTTACTAGATACGTGACGGATTAGCTCAGGTTCGTTGAATCAAAGAAATGAATGAGTATGGACATACAACTGAGGTTTTGGAATATAGTCGAGGTCCACTGGATAACATCGACTGCATATCTCCGAGATCTTGGGGTCGACTGCGGTGATGCATATTTTGGAATGTGGACATATCGAACAAGGTCAAAAATTCAAGCTGCAACTCTGTCGTTGGTTCTTTGGGAAGACACTAGCAAACATGTGGATATCAGGTCAGCAGATTTCTTTTTTAAGATGAGGCTTCACTTCTGTAAATGAAAACAGTCTGTGCCGGAAAACAGTTGTTTCTTCCTTACTGGGTATCATCAATGTTGTGCTTCTAAGGAATTCTCAGCGAGATTGAAACCCACCCGTTGTTGAGGTCCTTTCAACCATTGGCGGCTGTGTGATTAACTCGAACTTAGATCGGATGTAGCAGCACTCATCCTTCAGTCACGAAATCGACCTCAGGTGGTCTCATGTTGACTGATTTTCGAGTGGTGACCTCTTGGAAGACAGCTTCACTAGAAGTGTAAATTATTCTGCCTGCTGAATTATACGTTTGTTGGTAGTGTAAGCAGCTTTGGGAGTTTTTGGGGGAACATTTGGTCTGTAAGGAGCGAAATAAGAGAGATTAAAAGACAAACTGAACAAGTGTCGATTGACTTCCACCAGTGTGAGCTCAATATTACACGGGCTATTTGACTGGTCCAAGTGAGACAGTAGACTGCGGCTGGCGTCAGTGAGTCACACAGCTGACTGACGTTCATAAACTCTGAAGGGATACAGAATAGCCATAATTCCCGGTGATATAAGCAGGTTGTGTAAAGTGAGAAATCTTTCGCAAATCACTTTTCTCAATGCGTTTTCAGGTGCGCAGTAATAGGCAGAATTGGGTTGAGTGAAACACTAGGGGCCTCCATCAAGCTGCGCTGCCTAATGGCTGAGTCCCTCTGAGAAGATAGGTTTTTGAGAAATCTCATCACAGCAGGGATATGCTCCTGCAGAAAAATATATAAGGACACTCAACTAGTCAAAGATAATACGGAAATCAGAAGGCAAACATCTTATTCACCACCGAGATCCCTTAACGTGCTCAATGCCGATCAATGTCTCACGGTCTCGTTACAGCTGAACATGTGTACATTTGATTCTATGACCAGCTGTATACATTCTCCCCGTTAATATACATAATCACGTACTTGGTTTTCTTCCAATCTTATCTTAGTTTTGACGTATTAGTCTAGAGAACAAAACACGCAAGGGATACCTTGTTCGCCACCTTAATCTCTACCACGCCCTTCAGATAAAATTCCATTCATCAGACTTCTAGCAGTAATGAGCATCATTTCTGAAGTTGCGCTGTAGAGGGAGATACATTGCAAGTGCTTTGTGCCGGAAATCGGACCTCTGATCTTCGCATTGCCTACGCGCATAAACCGGAGTGAAAAAGTCAGCAAGGACACGGACAAATAATCTCATTTTTACATCCCTCTTTCAGGAGCTGTTTGATAACAGAAAACGATGGGTATTGTAACCGAATGTTTGAATTATCCGCGGATCTGATAACATTCTGGGGAATGTAAAATCTACCCACTATTAGGCGCCAACTCATGGGACGTCCAGATTATAGTGACCCATAGTGAAGCCGTCCATAGGAGTTCCACTGGTCTATAAACCGTCTACGGAAGCTTTTGTGGCCTTCAAATTAACATCTTGGTGAGTTGCTTTTGATCCTACACAAAGAATTGCTGCTGACTTGGTACTACATAATCCCACGCATGAGGGATTGTTAAAGAACAGTAAGCATTGAATTCATAAACTGGAATTTGCCTATGAGTTTTGGTCACCAGTGTTGGCATCCGCTACACTATTGAGTTGACCTTATCATTAAGAGAGTCCGAGACTCTTTAGAAGTGAATACTACTGACAGCACTATGCGACAGATCACTGGATGGTATTTAAAGCCGATTCAAAAGTGCACTAGTGCTTTCATTGGCTTTTCATTACGACAGCTAGCTTTCCGAACGACAGCCCGTTTGGCGCTAGGTGATAAAAATAAAAGTCGATCATCAATCATAAAACTGCTTTGTAACAGTGAGATTTACTAAGGCATCAATAATGAGTTCACATTTTAGTCTCCGTTGAAACTCAGTGAGAAGTGCTTGCTCAGTTGGAAAATTCATTTGATTCCACAACTTGTCAATAACAAGACGGTAGAACTGCATTTACGCCAATGGTGTTAGTGATATTGGTTGGAACATAGCAGTAAATTTGTACTCAGAGGTAGGATAAGTGCTAACAAAAAAATGCTGCTCAAAGCAGAATAAGAGAGATGCATAACACAAGTAGAAATCAAATAACTGAATCGGGAGTCTTTTAATCTTTGATATGGTTCATTTCCTTGTACACACCTTCGGATCTCCTGACTGCTAACGTGGGAAACAGTAACAAAATAAATCCTGCTAGTGCATGGGGAAGGTAACCATTGGTAACCTCCTCTACACCCAGCATGTCCAGTGCACTACGCACGTATGTATCTGGCGTTGGAACAAACAAACTTGGAGTCGATTTTCGCGAAAGTTTGGTGGTCACAAAGAGAGGACAAACTGCTTGTATCATGATGTTGGAATCTTTGACTTCTGGAATCAGAGATTTCACAAAATGCTGGATAAATGCCTTGGATGCGCTGTAAAGGGACAGATATGGGTAAGGCATGAGTCCGGTAAAAGAACTCAAATTGATGATCGCCGACCCATGTTTGTTCTGCTTCAATAGGCGGGGCAACACGATGCGAGTAAGGCTTGTCATTGAATGCATGTTACAATTTATCAAGTTCCGTATAAATTCAAAATCGATAAAGTCCGCATTGTCAAAACGTGCCAGACGTGGGTAACAGATCCCAACGTTGTTCACCAGACATGCGATGGAGGGTAGCTTGTCGACTTCTTTCTCCAAAATCCCATAAATATCATCCTGCAGTGAAACAAAAGAGATATTTTCACTGGCAGTATTTCTGTGTTGTAGACCTATACGTTTCCAAATTATTCGGTACGTTATGGAAGGATCGCTTTCTAAATTATTTGCCCTTCCTCGTTTCACAGATGAGACAACAAGCATGTAACTTGCAAAGAACGAAACTGCTATTCACTTTCGTGATGATGTTGATGAAACCAAATCCAGATGCTTCAAATACCACCCAAAATGACTAACTCAGGCGTAGTGCAGCGGCATGTTTTATTGAAATTCACTATACAGAAAGTAGAAAATCACAGTGTTGACGAGCTAAGTAATCTGAATGCAGTTTCGCTACCAGTCGCTGTGGACAAACGAACTAGTCTACCACACTGTGTCTGTTTGCTTCAAACGAACTCCACGTGCGATCATTCACTGGGATACGTCGGTAGTGAAGTTTTAGAAGGTGGACCTGAGGGGAACTAATAGAAGGAGCAGGCCCAGATCTCTGATATGTGTGCGATTATTTTCCTGTTCGCTAACGCAGGTGATACTTATAGAAGTCCATACAGATTTTTTTTGTAAAATACCAGCGAGAGAGGAATGTACGGGGGATGAAGTGAGGAGAATGATACGGATGAAGTCACTTTTTTCGCATGTCCGCTGAGTGTGATCTACTCTTTACCACTGTGCATTGCATTTATCCAATGGGCTGAAGTACTCATGCCGTTGGCTGTTTAGTTGTCATTTACGCTTCCCTAGTAGTACAAATATCGGAGACCAGTCACGGAATACGTCTCCCAAATCTGCAATATCTCTTCATTTCGGAAAGAATGGACCAGATTTCTATCTCACATAGAAGTCGAAGCACTTTCGTTCATGCACGGTGAGGAGATTTGGATTCTTTGATGTATATCATCGTCTGAAATTATAACCAACCTATGCTGAAAAGCGGAGAAGCACTGTTCTTGCTGGGGTTAATCAGCGGACCAATGGTTAGGGCGAATCGAAACCGTGTCAGTTAGGGTAGCTGCTGAGATGATGGATTATCGACCAGGCGCAGGAACTTACTGGCTAAAACAATGGTTAGTGGCAAATTTGCTTCAAACTTCAGTAAACTCTGCGCGCGGTCAACTTCGACTCATTTGTCCGAGGAATCTTTCGGAGAAGTCCATCGTTTGTTTCCCTGGAAAAGTGTAAGGTTGCTCCATTATTTAACATTTTCACCAAGCTATGCTTATTCTCGAAATAGGCTAATCTCAAAGTTCAGTTGCTGTTAACAGAGACTTAGCTGAATCCAAGATGAACCTCCTGTTTGTGCTATCCTTTGGCTGGACACACTGCAAAAAGATCGTATCTTGTTTCAGTTTGCACGGGATTTTAGATATCGCAGTGTACTTTGGGGACGTAACATGCTATTTTTAAGGTTGATGGAAACCCTCCTAAAGCCCACTAACGGTTCACTCCTCTCAAGACTCACCTAACAATCTTAGATTCCAAGTTGTCACCAGTCATACGTTTTATTTGAACACCAAATCACGGTGATATGCACATAGTTGCAAACCAAGCTGGTGTTACCAGAAAACAAACTGAATCTATCGTTTATGATATTTCGGAATTCACTTGGATATCCTATCAACATCAACTTAATTTGCAAGTGAATGCCTATGCTTCGCCATTTGACTTCGTGGTATTCAGGTAAATCATACGGACGACTACTACACCCACGAGATGAGCCCAAGAAAGGCGAAGCCGTTAAGGGGCTGTCCTGGAGTCTCCATCAAAAATGTAAGTAGCGTGTTTCGTCAAGAGTCCTCGTTTTCAATCAATTGGAAACCCCTCTTAAACGAGTTCTCGTTTTCATTTGGTTTCGGTTCTAGTAGATAGTAAACATGATTTTGTAGACCGTAAACAATTTTGCTCTGGTCCGTCATCCCTGTTGATGTTTGCGTAAATCTCTCCCCGCTCCAGAACGTTCACGTTTGTGCTTCGCAACTGCTGGTCTGTCACAAGATTATATATTTAGTGATGAAAAGTTCTTTTTTTGTGATTGATGTACAGGAATCGTGAACGTTGTCATTTCAAGGAAGCGATCCAATCGTGGTGTTTTATATTTCTACGAGTTTCGTGATGTGTTGTGATAACAGGACTTTTCTCTCAATGATTTACTCTTTAATGAGATCAGGTGATTGATTGATCTGAGGGGAGGGGTAATCATTCAGACTGTCAGGACATTGAAGTCAAAATACCGTGCATTGTGAAGCCTGGTACCACATAGTGTCAGTTCTGAACGTGCTGAATAAGCCAGTCTTATTACAGACTAAACACACTTGAAGTTTTGATAAACTTTTGACCAAGGTCTACGTGGTAAGCAATATTAAACATTTTCATTGGCTGTGTTAAATTTTCAAAACAGTGTTACTCTCTGTGAATACATGAAAAGTAAAGTAACATTTTGAGTCGGACCTCTCCACCGGAGGTTAATAACTTAAACAAAGGTCAATAAGCAAGTAGATGATTAACAATACGAGGGCTTACTCGTGTGAAATCACAAATGAATGTTATCGTCTTCACGCTGAAATTACCCGCGAGTTCGGTGGCCATACTACTCAATCCTGCCTCATCGATATCAATGAGCATGATGTTCAACCCATCTTTTGCCAGTTCACGAGCATATGCTTGACCGATTCCGGCAGCCGCTCCCGTAACAATGGCCCATTCACCTGCGTTCTTCAGTTGTTTCCGTTTGGAATAGAATTTCTTCGCAATGGTGAACATGAATAGCATTCTCATAAATGGATAAACTACTTTCCACGAGACAATCGTTGCAGCCGACCAGAAGAGAATTTTAGAGGGGGACATCCTGACCAAATAGTTCTGAAAGTGCAATAAACCAAGTACAGTTGTTGAAATAGCATTTTTAAGACTACCAAAGTTACTTAGTTCCCCTCATCGTGACTGACTTCACCTGAATTGCAGTCCCCTCTGCGTAGGCAGTTCGTTGTGTTCACTGTATTAAAGTCAGAATCTGATAGGCATGAAAACCATTCCGACAGTCTCCAGGTGCGGTAGAATAATGAGATGGTCCAAATAACCGTCGTTTGTTTACGTTTCTGCTTTGCGGATGTGTTACAAACGTCAAGATCTGAATTGGGGGGGCTCGGTTCGCACGGAGTGCCTTATTAGGTTTCTTGCTGACAATCTGTGAAGGACTTTCACACCTAATTATCCCCTACAGATCATGTGCAGCTTCTGCTGGGAAAGGGAATGTCTAATTTTTTCATCCTTTATCTCTCGCTTTGCTGGTAACATATTTCAAGTGCATTTTTTGGATTAAATAAAGGGGTATCGTTGGGTGAAGAACCCCAAGAAGAATATTATATCAGACGGAGAATCTATGTACAGACTTGCAACTCGACTGATTACCTGTTAAACTGCATAACTTAACCTGTCAGATGTGAAAGATTTTTCATTTCTAATGTTTAACCAAGATGAGGTTACCTTGAACGGATATGCTCCATTTGCTTTACGCTTTATCATCCTATCTCATTAGTAGATATATTTAATCTATTCTAGACGGTTTTTTAGTTCACAGTGGTTACAGCGACGAAAGGTAGTGATTTAATTGGAGAATTTCGTGACTGCAAACAGGGTCATTCATACAAGTTCATATAGGGATGAGAAACAGCCTGAGCAAATTAGCCCAAGGATTACATATGGAAAGCCTCTAGCTACACCTGGTGCGTTCCTACCCGGACGAACTACCTTGTTCAGCAGAGCTTTTCAGAACGTGACCACATCTTTGCTACCAACAAGTTTATGGGACTTTGTGGGACATTCGCTACTTTACACTCACCAATCCACAAGGAATATAGTTCCACAAAGCCTACTTTAGGCAGTGTGGGTCTACTATGAACTAAATTCTATCAAAGTTTACTCCAACAGCAGTCATTTATCTACAGGACATAATCTGCTCTGCCTTCCTACTGCACAAGAACACGGGTGAAAACACACGCGCATAGGCATTGCAGGACATGTTTGTGAACATACTGCAAATATTCAGCTAGATGAATCATTCAATCATGTTTTTCGAAGAACTTTCAAAAAGCCGTAGCAGCCGACAAGCTCGAAGTTATTCTGACCAATCATGCCTATTTTGGAATGAGTCATACACCAGTATCAAGAAGAAACTTTGGCGCATGTGGATGGTATGATGTAGAATAGGCTAAACTGTTTCATTTTGTCAGTTTCGTGGTATACTTTATCATGGTCAAGTAAGTATTTGCATAATGAGTTTTAGAGCGCAATACACAAAGCACCTTATAGACCAGAGTTTAGCCATGGATAGTATATCGGAGGAACGATAGGCGATGTGAGGTGATGTGTTGTCCTTGATGTTTGTGACCACTCAGAATTAATTTTCCTCTGTAAAGATGTCCATCTGAATCGTCTTGCGCATTTTCCTCAGACATCAGCCAGTGTTATGTTTTCCTTTACTGCACGCGGCCTGTAAATCAACGTTCGTGAGTGCGTCTATAACAAACTAGTCTTACGCCGTCCATTGTCAACCAATGAGCCAGTCTTACAGTCTGGGCTGAAGTTAAGCAAGTCATGCCACCCGTATTCGGTACTAAAACGTTGGGTAGACCAGATGCCAAGAATAGCATGTTTGGGTTGGGCCTAGGTGAAAGCTTCATGACTGCACTGAAAAATATTCAACAACAGCTGATGGAGCGTGTGCATTTGATACGCGGACATCAGATTATCTGCTTTGTCTGATAATGGAAGTTCTTTATGTGGCTACTGAAACGCAAAGTTGACATGTTCCAAAACTAACCGTCACAGCCACTCTATTTCGTGTAATAACCTTTCCAGAATAAAACATACTCAGGTACTTGGCACTCAGTCTCTTCTGGGTAGGTGACCTCTCTTCGGGGATATGATATAATGCTGAACTTCGGACGTCGCATGCTACTTTGAAATGAGAAGTCCACGTCACCTGATATGAATGAAAAGATATTCGAGGCAGACTCGAACCGCCGACTTCCGGCCTAACTAGAGGTACTCCCTCGACCGAGCCTCTATCCGTATCCAGGTCTCTTTCCGTTCGCCGTAAAAGTACTTGAACTTAGTATAGGTTGGCATTTTTCTAATCCCCTCTTTTTTACAGTATGTTATTTTTTGGCCTGTATAATAATGATAAATGCAGTTATTTTCTTCATTGCCACTCTATTTTACAGGATAATTGGCAATGTTTTATTCGCTTTAATTTTAACGTTTGTATGATATCCATATACTGAGAGCGTGAAGATGTTGTGAACAGTACTCAAAAAGTAGTAGAATCGGGGAGTAGTTATCCATCAATTCAATGTCAAAATACATTTTTCTGCTGATAGTACTAATTAAATTTTCATCAGCCGGGTGCCAACTGTGTTAAATTTCTTCGAAATTTTGACTTAGGTTACAAATTTGAATTTACATAAGAACCTGTGAGATACAGGATTTGGGTCCTATTGGAGAAAAAACGCTTTAAAATAGTTTACACTTGTAACCCATCGTTTATCTGTTTAGAGGTATCCATAGAGGTATCCACTAAATAAAATAAGGAACTAATGGGCAAAGTAGCGTCTGTCTCATCCACGTAGAAAACGAATGATAATGGTTGCAAGATGGAGGCATGGATACCGGCTTTTACGGCAGGCAAGTTTGTTGTGTCACCGTGAGCGAAGTTACCTCTACCCAATGAGTGAACACAGTTCAACCAAATAAGAGTTTAACTAGTCGTTACGGTAAGCAGTTCAAAATAATCAAAAACCACATGCACATGAAAATCGCAGTGCTTCCACGGTGGCACTTGTATTCTGGCTCTTGAACTGCATAGCAAACAGCCAGTCTGTATTCCGACACGCGAGTGATGCGTGTGTGTTTGATTGTGTTCTGTCCTTATAAAAGGACAGAGTTGGACATGAAAATGATGTGAAATCACCTGGTGTCGTTCAAAAGGTCATGGAACGGGAGTTGACATAGTGCCGTATTCATGTCACGATTTTGACGCGTGATTGTGAGACAGACAAAATGGAATGGGGGTAGTAGGTGCCGGTGTGAAATTGATTGGAGGAATAATTAACCAGAAGGGTAAGCGTCACAAATACTCCCCCCTTTAGAGAGGGATCATGTAGGCGCCGTCATCAATCCAGACAAGTCACGTCTTGTCTCGTGATGCACGTTGTGGGATGTGGAACAAAGCAAGGCACGAGGAAGACTGGAAGCGGATGCACTAATCGGATTGGGCAACCGCTACAAAGTCATAGTGCCAAAAAGCGTAGCCATCAATGTAAAATGCTATTCTATAAATTTTCCAGAGGTTTCAGACCAACAGTAGCCCTGGGCATCACATCGGCCCAATGAATAACCAGATTGGCGGTCTCAGTTCGGATATATGATTTTTATCCTTGGTTTGTGATCCTAATTTATAACGCAAAACCGAAGTCCATTATCAAATATCCTCCAAATGATGAAATTTTGAATTCTGGCGTTAGTGAAAATGTGTTGGTCTGGAGAATGCTTTTGCAAAGGATGTTTTATACTGTGAAGTTTTCTCGACTGCTTGTTTGAGTGCACATGCTTCGCACGCTGTTGCACCTCTCCTTAGAGAAAAATTAGCGATTAGCACCTAATAATGAACTCAGATGACTTGGTGGTCCGCTGTAAAAACGTACCAATCATTTAAAACCGCAGACCCCTGAAGCAATTTGCTAGTAATACGACCGTACAATGTGAAGATCGTCCAAACGAGAGTGATGGAAACACAGATTTTACGAATCCCACAACTGGATACAGATTTCAGGTGGGAAGTTCTGATAATCAGCACACCTATATCAGATACTGGGTCATCTTTCTAGCTCGTGGGTTATCAAATGTGAGCACACTAGCCTGATTAGGTGTGAGTTCAGTGCATCCAGCATTTGCCAGTGGAATAGTGTTGACCAGCTCGCTTACTATGCCAGATTTTCTGTCTCCAAATCCCGACACGGCTAAACACATGCACTACCGATAAGCTGTACCGAGAGTAAAACTCCAACTTGCTACTCTGATGTAGCCTTAGCCCAATGGTTGTGTCTGGTTCGGGAGACTGTCTAAACGAGAATGAGGTGAGTGCGAAAGATATTTTATTCTGCATGCACATAACTAGGACGAGTAAGCGTCTTGGAAAAAATCAAATGCCTTTCTTTGGGCAGCAATAACTGATAAACAACGTTTACTAGCAACGCACCATGTTACTTAAGAGTTACACTAACTGCTTCAGCCACAGCTTCAAGATAAACCCGAAAGAAAGCTAATGGGCGTGAACTCCATGATTTCAGTCACCAACTATTCATGAGGGTACAAAATATGCCACAAAATAATTCTAAGATAAACTAATTCTGTCAAGCCATTAAGAGAAAGTTATGCGAATGCCACATCAACATTGTAGAACTTCCTAGTCAGTGTGATTCAGAAAACTACGCTTTAAACTTACGAGATATCAACTCAGCCGTTTAAAGGTCCACCAACGTAAAACTGTACTAGTCAGTATTGAAGAGACAAGTATTAACCTGTACGTTCACATTCATATAGAAATATTTTTGACAGGAGCTGAAAGCGCAGACGCATAGCGATCGATACGAGTATACGGTGCTTGATTCGCACGCGGAATGCGTTAAATGTGACATGTGACGATGCGTGTATGTCTGTAAACGTCGATCGAACAACCAAGGTGAAGTGATAATTCAGATCAAAGAATCGGGATCCAAGGATCCCGTGGCTAGAAAATCCCTACCCGTTACACGTGACGGAAAGATCTTTGCTTTGAAAGAAATAAGGCACAATGGACACGACGTCAAAAAGCGTGGGAAAACTTTGTGATTGACCCTGATAGATTAGAACGATTTATCTTTCTGAATAAACGGACATTCTGAAAAGAACGCCGAAGCGATCAACATGGTAACTCACCTGTTTTACGGTATATTTCAGTACACTTCTGATAGCTGATGTCAAGATGTGCAAAGATGGCGAAGTTTCAAGGCAGATGAAGAACTTATCACTGAGACTTTTCCAGATTAGCACACCAGATCAGTGTTGAATGCCATTTAACATTCACACTGATCTAGTGTGAAGAGGAGTTACTGATTGGTTCCCCGTCTGTCTTAAAGCCTGGCCAATTTGGTGACCTGTTCACTTGGCCTGATGAGGCTTTTGTGTCAAAAGCGAAGCGTTGCCCAAATAAAAACTATCGATTGTTTACCAAGCTCTTCTGAAACGATGACTTCTCAATCGGTTCCAAACTTTTTCCAATTGATTGAGAATTCACGGCCTGTGTTTTAGGGGCTGGAAGTTAACCTATCCTCTCCGATTGTGAGTTAATCACACTGCTGTTCAGGCTCCCGTGGCCGAACTGTTAAGGATCCACACTAATGACCAGCATTTCGCCGGATTTGCTCATTAATCCGACTAGGAGTGAAACAGTTGTACAGTGCATCTCGGCTATGCAGTATAGACTGACTTCACGTTAATAAACGAAATTTCAATCAATTATTGAAAAAAACCAGACTGGTTTTTACTGTACAATGCAAGCTAGCACTATCAGGCTAATACTCTATGCATACATCACCTCGCTTAACACGGTGGTTAATCTCGGACCGAAAGGTAACTCCTTAAGGAAATCAGTCTGTTCACATCTCATAACTCTTGTGGAGTGATGTGATTGATATACCCGACTCATCGAACGGCGACCCAGTAACTACCATGGTTGTGACGATCGATTGATCCTTCCACTAAGAAAGCGCCACAGACATTTGAAATCCGCCGGATAATTATTGACTTTTCGTTGTGGGGTTTGCGGGATGCACATTGTTCACATCCACACCACTTGTTCGGACAGTCTATCAGTTAGCCCATACACTTCACTTACAGGTCTTACAGGATGAAACCCCAAGCAAAAAGCAAATTTATTTGGATCGTGCTCTGGGAATTTTCCTTAAGCTTCAAGTCAATTCATCCTTGACCGGTGTTAGCTTTTATAGATCAGCTTTGCTCATAAGGGAAAGGTTGAGCCTTGTACTTTCAACCCCTTCTACTTTTGATATTATTGTGGTTAATACGATAACAAAAGTCAATGCTAATATAATTATCTCAGCTAGAACTATTACAGTCAATTGAAAATTGCAGCTGGGCTGCTAAGTTACCCTTTAAAGTCTCGATATTGCACAATTGCTGTTTTTGTGGTATTCTCGCACTCAGCAAAGAGTTGGTGAGGAAATTGCTACAACACCTCGATAAGAACGGAGATGGGAAAATTGATGTGAACGAACTGAAGATGTTCCTTGATCGAGAGAAGTGGCCGGTGAGTCGCGAAAAAGTTTTGGATTTCATCAAATTATATGACACAAATGAAGACGAGATGTTGGACTTGGATGAATTGTGCACAATGCTTGCGGAATGAACCCGTTTGATTCTTTAATGAATGCAAATATAATTGACCGAACTTGTCTCCTTTTGGAATTCTAAATTTCCCAAAATTACAATCAACCTATGTCTTTCTAGTTTCGTTAAGATTTCGTTATGGCGGCGCCGTTCACTTCTGGAAACCTCTACCGGGAACTGGAGATGATGTCATTCAGCCTACGGCCTGTCTTCTTCCAACTCCTCAACAAACGTTCACTACTTTCGACATTTAATAAGGGAAGTGAAAGGAACAAGTTAGTTATCAATTACTATAGGGTGTTTGATAGAATAATGTCTCAGACGTTTCAATAACCAGAGCATCATCATGCGATGCAAAGTTCGATCGGATTGGGTATCAACTTAGATTGGAGAACGTTCGGAATGTTCCGGAACTTGCGATGTTCGTGGTAGACTAAAGTAGAAGACAAGGCAATGACGATAACGATTCCTCATGTGTCTGTTGACCAATGACGTTTATGAATGGAGACAGTATTAGGCAGGTCTTTGCCTGTCCACCGGCTGTAAGTTGATAGTCAATCATTTCGTATAATTTCATTACGGTCTCTCACTCCCGACCACCATAAAACAACATGTGCACTTCAGGAGAAAAATACTTGGAAACGATTAAGTAGTCATTCTTTCCGAAAAAGTTTGCTGATAATCGGTAGATTTATTGCTGGGCACCGTTTCGCTTCTGACACAAAAGTTTCGTCAGGCCAAGTGACTCGGTTCCGAGGTTGGTCCAGACTTAAGGATTTAAGTTTAAATCCACACATCAAGTTTAACATGGAAATGGAGTCCACCTCGGGCACATTACCCTTTCTGGACTGTGGGAAATTAAAAGTACTATCTACCATAAACCAACAGACACAGGAATCTTCTTAAGCTACTCATCAGCACACCCAAAGTCAATGTACGCCAGTATTGTCTCATAGCTGTTTCTTCGAGTCAGAGAGCTGTGCACAGAACAGATTGACCGAACGGCAGCTCAGATCAGGATTGCCAACAGACTTCGAGAAGTCGGATACCCAGTGTGTTGATTAAGTTTCAACCAAGAAGGATATTTGCTCCAGTATCTAGACCCAGTAAGGAATGGATTGGCATAGCAGTCATTCCATATAAAGTAGGAACATCGGAGAGTATTCGAAGACTGTTGAACTTAGTCAACGTTCGAGTAGATTTGCAGAAAGGAAAAACGCTACGCTCATTTTTGGTGCAATTGAAAGATCCCCTGCTGGAGGGACTAGAGACTATTATATAAAATTAACTGCAATGATTGCACTACGGTTGACATAGGGCAAACTGCCAGGGCATTGCACACCAGAACTGGTTATCACGAAATGAGGATAAACAAATCACCAAGGAATGCGACAGATCACCAAACAATGGTCATGGACTCAGCTGTGGTAGTACATGTCTTGGACACAGGACATAGAATAGACCTGGAGAATGTGGGAGTTGTAAGTTGGAAACCACAGCGGCTGATAGCCGAGGCGGAAATTCAGCATCACAGCGTGAACAGAATCGAGGATGTGGAACTGGCGAGCGTACGGAGAGCTGTCTTAGACAAAGCAAGATGACATGTGACTGTATGGTTGTTAATCCATGTAGAACCATTAGCAAAAACTAGAGAGTGGGGGTGGAAATCCCAACCCGACCAAAGGTCACAGCATCCTCCTTGCGCAACTATCTTAGGGCTAGCTCATGCACACAGATGGACAGAAGGTTCAAACAACGTTCAAGAGGGACCATCAAATGAACCGAACCAGAAGAACTAGATCCTAGGCCAGACCCAAACACATGTAGTCCCCCCATTGACCCAACACTTGTTCACCCACCCTAACACACAAAAATCCTTCGGTCGACACCCAACAGAGACTTAACTCGGCTTAGGTGATTGGTTCTCCTTCCGCCTTAAATCTCGACCAGCCCCGGAACCTAGTCACTTGGCTTGAAGAAGCTTTTGTTTCAAAAGCGAAACGTTACCCAGCAATAAATCAAATCTACATCACCACACTTTTCGAAAACATCTGCACTTGCTTATCTCTTGGCATTCATGGAATAACCGGAAGCGTTTTACTGGCCACTAAACAGTACAGTCAACTTGTACTATTAGTTCAGCCGCTCATTTACATGTTTCTTGTGTCTTCTATCAAGTCTTTTTGCCGTATGTGCTACCGTCACTGTTTCTGATAAAATCCATCAGAGTTGTGTCAAGTTCTCCTTGTACGGTTGCAGGATGCCAAAGAGTACGGGAGTTTTCAGCACGGTCTGCGTAGTCGCGAAAGTCTCGCAAGACGGAAACTATTCATCGAAACAGTGCACTTAAATTTTTAACCACGTTTCCAGAAAGAGGTAAACATTACTTGAATTCAACAGTTCATTGAAGGCCACGTGAGACTTTGTCACGTTAGATAAATTACAGCCCCAAATTAAATGGAGCGGAACGTACCACAATCTGGTCAGACCTGCAGCCTGATTGCGGTGGTGAAAATAGGATAAATCAGGTCCAGATAAAACTGAGTTATGGATGGTGACCATCAATACGGATAGATGCATTGAAAGATTTGAGCCTAGAAAAGGTTCCTAGGGTTGAATGGTACTGGTACGGGCTTCATAAACATCACGTATGTGTACCTACATTCTTTAGGTTTCATTATATCGAAATGATGGCCCATGTAGCGCATAACTTGTCATTAGGTGAGGTGCCTGGAAAAAACACTCCTATCATTTCCTCCTAAACTACGCTACCGATTTTCGTCACTCTCGGAATTTAAGTGAACCAATATTTCTTGAATATATTGAATACCGGCTAAAGATGCAATGTTAACAAAAGAGCATAGTACTTCAACGGAAGTCGAACCCGCAAACGTTGGCCTACCTGACGAAAGTCATACCAACTGGGCTACACCTTGGGCTCATTTGTGCCAACTCCGAAACCTGCTGCATTAATTTGAACTAGTATGCATGAGCATACTACCGAGAATATTTTTCGAACTTTCAGAAATACACTGAGACGGCCTTCTTCTTATCCATTATATACTAGATCCAAATTACTTCCGAAAGAGTGATGTTGAAAGTTGTCCGTTGTCAACAATCAAACTGGAGAGTATGCTTTTTTAGGAGCAATTTTTCCAATTACCTTACCATTAGGGGTTCTAGGAATAACGACCATTCCGTTATTAAATTATTTTTGATGCAGACGAGGTGACAAATATTTCGGTACTATGGATATCACTATGCTCCACACCCAATTCTTTTTTAAAAAACAAAATTTCCATATAGTAATGGAATAAAACGTTCCCTAATAAACATCCAAAGAACTTTCATTATGCTACGGATGACGATTAACTCTTACGAATTTCCCACCAGAAAGCATATTTCTAATTGAAATTTTTGGAAGCACACTGGAAAAAGAGCTAGGAGATTACGTCGACAGTACTTCGTTTCTGAACTTATGAAACTCATTTTTAGTTGTTAGTTCCTCCGAATTTATGTATTCCTCTTTCCGAAGAGCGATGTTCTATAGACGATACCAGAACCACTCCAGGAGAATCAAGCGTCGATGGACTAGATCGTTTGTCATACCTCTCCTTCAAATAGCACTCTTGGAAGCTTTTTTGGAGGAAAATAGGTATGGAAGTGATCACAAGGATCAACATTCAGTCTGAAAGCGTCAATGTCGAAGAAAATACAGGCTGTTCACGGCGGTCATGACAATATTTGGACGGGTGAGGGGTGTTGCTGTTACTTTATTTAGACCCAGCTCAAAGGTCACCGGATTAGTCTTTGTGAAGACAAGCTGATGGAGTTTGATTAACACGGATAATTTCCGCGTTCACAATATTTTTGCTTCGAATATCACTCTGAATTTATCAGTTTAACCCAAAGCCTACCTATCTCATTCTTTCACACAGCTCCCCATATCCGTGGCCCGTTGATAACTGACCGTCAGTATATCTTGGTGTTGGACCTCCGTAGCAGTCCCAGACTCTGAAGTGGGATAAAGCATATGATTTTGAGATGGTGTAACTGACAAACCTTCATTTGGTGACCTGACAGACAATTTAAATCACGTTTGCACTCATTTTCGTGAACTCTAGTGTAGGGGTCACTTACTACGCATACCGAAGTACCCTTCAGTTTGCCATGGCAACTACGGAGTAACGTGACCCGGAGTGCGGTCAGCGTGCTTGACAGAATGGACCAAAGTACTTTAGTTTGAAGGCTTCAAGTGTAAGATACAACCTAGAAATGAGTCCTCCTGTCCTTTTTTGTGCTCATCTAGGGACGCTTCAAGACATAGAAACAACCCTAAGTTTGAATTTTATAACCAGTCTCTGTGTAGGTTGAATGACCAACTATGGGATGCGTAGACACCTTGAATGCTAACAATTAGGCTAAAACGAGGGCCCTTCCATCCCCGTTATTGATCTTTCTTACACACCATCTATTTCTCCAAACAACTGGCATGGTTTTAATTCTATAAATTATCTATGTGATATAGCTCGTGATAATGATAATTGTGATGACGCAGAAAATAGTGAGATTACTAGGAACAGAATTACTATCTAATTATTACATTATTGTCTGAAACAAAACATTCGAAGATGTGAGATAGCGCCGCCTCGAGGTGCTGTTTCCTCAGAGAGAGTCCAATCATTTGACATTTAAGGCTCGAAGCGCTGGTCTGAGGGCCAGAAATTCTTTTCTCGTTGAAGTGATACCTTCTAAAAACCGGTCAAGAACCGTCTCAAGGGGCTGGTCAGAAATCGCTTTTCATGAGGTGAACATCTCTATTTAGCCGGCACGCTGGTCCGTCTTCTCGTTGTGCTGACTGGGTAGTTCTGACGTCGATATGAGTAACTTAAGAATTTGGTAACTCCATATTTGGCTGAA